CGTGGTAGATATTCAGCAATCACTACATCACAATCAACAACAAAAAGTTACTGCTCTTTAACTAGAAAACATAGTTTTAATACAGTACTGCTTCTGCGTGATACTTACAGAATAAAAGAGAAATACCCAAGTAACTATAGTCCACAGTTACCTGTAAAGGAAATGAGGGTGTGCTAGCCCAGTTTCCTGTTTCAAGGCTTCAATTCCATTCTATGAAGCACAGAATGATGTCACAGGCTTCTTCAAGTAAGCTGATTTGTTTTTGTTTGGCTTCAAGCTTCATGTTTTCATTTCTTAGTTACTACTATGTAATTCTGCCATCTTGTAGCTGATGTAAGACTATGTAGCTCTGGAAGCAATTAGCAATTCTCCTCCTGCACTGTGAACTGCTGTTTCCTAGGTTTTGTTGTTGTTCTTTTTAGGCTTGACCTTCCTACAGAACATTCAACATATCTTTTAATAATACATTTACTCTTCATCTAAACTTAGGAAGAAAAAAAACCTGTATGTTTCAAAAAGAAAACATTTTTATGGCTGTGAATATAGTTCCAAAGGAACCTATGAATAAAATAGTCAATACAACAGTTATACAAGTCTGTGTGGAACTCAATCAAGAAAGAATGCTAACCTATCAACCCCCAGTGCAAGAGGCAGAACTGAAGAATATAAACTTAAACAGGCAAACGACAACATTCATCTTCACTGCAACGTGCTGTAGGGAATGTGACACCTGAGAGGTGGCTCTGAGGTGACCTTTGCATGTGCCCACTGGTCCTGAAGAACTGTTGGCTGCCCAGACTCAAAATAGTCACTCAGAAACTATATTATTTAAATCACTGATTGGCCAATCAGTTAAGCATATTGCTAGATAGCTCTTATATCATTCGTTAACCCATTTCTATTATTTTATATTTTACCATGAGGCTCATGGCTTACTAGCAAGGTTCCGGCTGCTGGTTTGCATCTGTCTCCTCTAGTGGCTCCATGGCTTCTCACTGACTCTGCCTTCTTTCTCCCAGCATTCAGTTTGTTTTCCTGCCTAGCTCTATTCTGCTAAGGCATTGGCCGAGAGCAGCTTCTTAATTCATTAACCAATAAAAGCAACACATAGACTGAAGGACTTCCCAAAGAACTGCCTTTGAGGGACTGCCAAGACAGAATATGACCGACTTTTACTAACTGTGGGTCAAATGAAAGGGACAGTCACAGTAAAGACACTGCATTTCATGAACAAGCTCACGTGTGGATGGACTGAGAACATAAGGGCTAGAGTCAGACACGGGTTCAGATCTCAAAGATACTCCTTAGCACTCCTGTGATTGGGAGCAAGGCTTGTGGCTGGCACACTCTCACTTTGTCTCTTTCCCCTTCTCTCTTTCCCCAGCTACAAAGTGAGGACAAATGACACCTGTCACAGTCACTGCTGTTGTGCAGTAAAAAGTGCTAGGAGCAAATATAACCCTAAGTGACTTGATGGCAGAGACCTGCATGCCTGGCATTCCTAGCTAAGTCTAATGAAAGGCTCAGCTCTGAGTTCTGCATGGTGGGAATAAGATTATAATGCTCTTGGGGTAAGCTGGCTAGTTAGATCGCCAGAATAAGCAAGTTCCGTGTTAAGTAAAGGATCTGGTTTGATATGTAAAGTGGAGAGTGAATAAAGAAAAAAAGCAGTGTCAGCTTTGGGCCTCCACATGCATGAACACACATGTGCATGTGTACTTAGATACATGACAACCCACACACATGTATACACAAATATACACACCACACACACTCACACCACACACACATACTCATACACATCAAAAATATGTACACACTACACATACCCACACCCTATACACATCACATACACGCACATGTGCACACACTCATGAGTGCACAGCATATACCACACAATCATAACACACACACACACTACACCACACACAGAGACACACACACACACTCATTCACACTCATACTGGGGAAGTAGATAATAAATTAGAGAACTTGTTAGGGTTTGGGGCAGGCATAAGGTATTAAAAAAATCTTACAGCCAATGTCTACAGGTTTAAAAAGTCAGTTGACAGGGGGCTGGAGAGAGGACTCAACAGTTAAGAGAACTGGCTGTTCTTCCAGAGGTCCTGAGTTCAATTCCCAGCAACCACATGGTGGCTCACAACCATCAATAATAGGATCCAATGCCCTCTTCTGGCTTGCAGGTGTGCATATAGAGTGTTCATACATAGACTATAAATAATTTTTTTAAGTCAGTCAAGAAAACAGGGTAAACAATGTGATTGTGAAGAGAAACCAGCAGTGACCCTTTATAATGGGTCTGGAGACCAGGTGGATAGAAGCAGCTCTGGTTAAGTCAAGTGGGGGACAGCGAGAAGAAGTCTGTTTAGAGGAAAGGACCACTGTAATCTGGACAAAGAACGTTTAGGATAGTGGTGTTCACCGACTGCCTCCAGACACTGCTGACTACATACCATGGACTGCGAGTTTCCTAAATCACATTCCTACATGAGAACCACAGAGAATTCCCCACCCCCCAATAACACAATCTCCTTGCGCGACAGCAAAAGCAACTTGAGTGGGTAAAACCAGAAACACAAAAGCAAATGCTCTAAGGTTTCTGCTTCTAAAAAGACCCTGTAACCTCACATTTGGATGTTAAACAAAAACAGAATATTTGAAAAGATGCAAAACATCTCTAATCATCATTTAACCTTGAGGGAAATTCAAAGCAAAACTATGATGAGATGCTTGCCTACAACTATTAGAAAGGCTGTTTTCTCTAAATCAACTCACAACAGCAAGCACACAGAACAGGACTCTCGCACACATGCTGCTGGCGATGCACTGGAAAACACCCTATGGACTCTTACACAGCTAAGCATGTGCCCTGCTTCTGGCCCAGGGACACCACTCCTCAGCAGCTTTCTCGGGGTGTGTGTGGGGGGGATAGCCATACAACTACACCACACAGATATTCATAGAAGCTCAATGAATACCGACTGGAACTTGGGAATAGCTCAAATGTATATCAGTATTGAATAGAGCCACACACTCTGAAACACCAGTGATAAAAAGTAATCAATACCCGTGCAAGAAGCAATACAAAGGCCCAACAGCACTGCAGAAGGAAAAGAACGGAGCAGGGCATGAAATGATGCAGGGCACATTCTACCTGATTAGTGACACCTAAACGCAGTGAGAGCAGGGGACTCGGGCTCGAGTGAACTGGGCTGGAACACTGTCATAACTGACGTAGCCTTTCTAAGGGTGACAGTGTATGCAGACTCTGAGGAACTAAACAAATGCACAGCACTTCTCACACGCTTTAAACAGGGCCGGAGAGACGGCTCAGCAGTCAGGACACTGGCTGCTCTTCTTTCTTGAGCTCAATTCCCAGCACCCACATGTAAGCTCACAAACCTCTGCAACTACAGTGCAGGGCCCCGACGCCCTCTTCTGGCTTCTGAAGCCGCAGGCACACATTTAGTGCAGACATGCTTGAAGGAAACACATAAAATTAAAACTAAATTTACCAAAAACAACAAAACCCAAAAGCCTTGAAGCACAGTACTGTTATCTCTGATTACCACAAAAATTCACAGTGATTTCTTAACTAGTTAGAATTCTACAAATGCCCTTAAAATTTTGGGAAGAAATGAGCCAACCCATGCTTCTTCCCTCTTTGAACCTCCAAGCATTCCTCTGTGGGCTCAGAGTGCCAGGACGTTAGAATGTGTAGAATCTGCGTGAATTGGTCATTGAGGCACTTAGACAGGGGCTCTTGTTTGCTGGACAGCTGTTGGTTACATTGTTCTTTTCTCACAGGCTAAAAAGGGGAACTGGTATGCTAAGGGAATGTGACCTTCTCACTGGATAGCTGTTACATCACCCCTGAAACACTGGCCAAGGAATCTGTGCTCACCCTGCCCCAGAAGAGCAGAAACACAACAACAAAAGACCCCAAACTCCAGTAAATGAGCGGTACTACCTTTGTAAAAAATTTTGAATGTTCTAGTTTACTTTAACTTTTAAAAAAATTTACATTTATTTGTATGTGTGTGTGTGTTTTCGCGCACGCATGTATTCATGGGGGAGGGCTTACAAATGCATGCCAAGGCATGAGCTCGGAGGTCAGAAGACAATATTTAGAAGCTGGTTCTCTCCTTCTACCATGTGGGCTTTGGGACTAAACTGTGGCCAGAAGGTCTTTGCCTTCTGAGCTATCTTGATGGCTCCAAGCCTCCAACTTACTAAAGAACAATGTTTTGAACTCATTTATTATTCTTGGTATGCAATTTTAATACAATTTATTTAGGAATCCAAACTCCTAAATAACTCTTAAGATATTTTTAAGAGAGTTTTAAGAAAGTTTTCATGCATAGAAACTCCATAAAACTATTGTAGCATCAACTCAGGATTTGTTTGCTCTTTCTTTCCTGCAGCTCTGAGACTGAATTTGGGGATGCAGGCATGTACTGCCCAGCTGACCCAGCCCCAATCCCTACCTCGATACTTTGCCATTCTCCTGCTTCATTACTTAAAACCCTTCTCACTTGGATAGGAACTTTCAATCTTTCCTGACCGTTAACCTACTAAACCGTAGGTCTTACTAGGTCTACATCACAACTCAGTCCAGCTCTCCGTGCACAGTGCACAGTGCACCACTGAAATTGCTCATGAGGATGCTGACCTGGATCGCTCTTTTTACTAAGTCCTTTACAGTGCTGACAAAGACCCATGTGATTCAAACCACTATCAGTGCCCCAGTGGTGAAAAACAAAAGCAATGTCTATGCATGCTTAAGCAATTTAATTAATCAAGTTTTGTGAGTGCATGTTCACGCACGCACACACACCCCGGCCTGTATGTGGAGAAACACTTCTGGCTGCTGGTAATTTAGAATTTTTAAACTTTTACTCACTAGTATCTTCTTCCATTGCATACCCACACTGTTGGGAACTAGAAAAAAATTCTCCAAATGATGATTAAAAACTTACTTTCAAGGCTTCCCACAAGGGAAACTGGACCAAGGAGAAAGGAATCTGGAAAGAGAGAGAAAACATGCAAATTAGGTAACATCTACCTGGCATTATTGTAAGAACCCACAATTATTACAGAGCTTCATTTTATCTCATAGCTGTAATATGGACAGTATTAGCAAATACACAAGTTTAGTATGTTTGAAAACCTGATAAACTCTGGCCATAGATCTTCTACTATTTCAAGATTAAGGAATGCAAAGACCACAATGAAGCGAAGAGAAATGCAGGGAGACAAGGTTGACTCAGAAATGATACAGCAAACATCTCCTATGGCAACACCCACAGTAAGACCCAAGCAGGTTCTATGTGACCACTACGGCTGTACAGTCCTCAGCAGGTAACGTGAAGGGTCAGAAGAGCAACTGAACAGAAGAGAAAGGGTGAGGGAGGAGAAAGGGAAAGATGTAGAAGATGGAGACAATAAGAGATGCAGGGAGAAGGAAAGAAAGTAAAACAAGGAGAGGGAGGGGTGGAAATAAGAAGTGAGGGTAGCAGGGGAGGGGCGAGGGGGAGGAAGGGAGGGGGACAGCGGGGGGGGGGAGGACAGCCGGGGGGAGGACAGCGGGGGGGGGGGGGGGCGGGGGGGGG